GGCTCGAAGGAAAAGTCGAGAGAGAAGCGGGTTCTGGGCCCGGTGCAGGAGAGCTCGGCTGGAGGCAGGTCCGGGAGCTAAATCACGTTGTCGAAGAGCTGCATGGACCGCATGATGTTCTCGTCCTGTGGGGAGGAGGTGGGAAGCAGGTGGGTTGGGCATGGAACAGCAATCTGGGCAACTCCCCCCAAATCTGGCTTTACCCTCATGACAGCTCTGACCCATGGGACAAGAGCCCCAGGGATTGCAGGCAGTTTCCAAGCCCTACTGGGATGCACGGCTCTCCTCATCTGCACGGGATGCCAGCACAGATACAGTTCCTAAAGCAGAGCCCCAGGCCCCTGGGACCTCTGCCTTCCCCCCTCTCTGCCAGGAGGGCGATGGGGGGGACAGAGGTCCCCAAGGAACAAGGAGGTGGCCCAGACCTGCTGGTGGCTTTACCTTCTGGCAGGACTCCAGGAACTCCTCGATTGTCACCACGCCATCCTTGTTTCGGTCCATTTTCTGCAGACAAACACAGCACGGGGCACGTGGCGGGGACAGCCCCAGCCCCAGGGAGAGCCCAGCACCCCCTGCCTGGGTCCCACAGGGGCAGGACACAGCGCACCCTTGACCCAGCCATCCCCAAGCACCCAGCAGGACCAGGATGGTCTTTTCTCTCCCTGGCTCCAGCACAGGCCTGCTTCATCCCCAGTATGGGGTGTTTTCTCCTGCACTGTGCTGGGTTTTGGGCAGCCACTGGCTTCATGCTGAAGCTTAGCTCCCCCCAGACGTGCTTGGCTCACCTGGAAGAAGTTCTCCACGTGCTCCCGGGGCGCTTCCTCCCGCATGGCCGGATAGGTGTATTTGCCCATCATGTCATAGATGGACTTCATGATGTCCAGCATTTCCTGGAGGGAAGGGGGTTGCAGGGTCAACACAGGGCTCTACCTCCGCCTGGTCCCCAACCTGCACCCTTTTCACGATGCTCCCAAAGGACCCATGGGGTGCTCAGATGTGTTCCTGCTGGCTCTGTGCATGATGTGGGGCCGTGCGTGTGTGATGGAGCCCCAAAGCAGCACATTCCCTCATCCACCCCAGAGACACACCAGTGCCGGGGGGCCTGGAGGGACCTGTTTGTAAAGCTGAGCTCAGTAAATAATGACCCCCACCACTGGCTCAGCCAATGCCCCCAAGTCCTGCCCTCATCCCTGATGGGTGCAGACCTCTGCTGGCCCCAGGGGCCAGCCTGGACCTCCCATCCCACCTCTTTGGTGATGCAGCCGTCTTTGTTTAGGTCGTAGAGGTTGAAGGCCCAGTTCAGGCGGTCGTCAATGGTGCCCCGTAGGATGATGGACAGCCCAGACACAAAGTCCTGCAAGGAGGGACAAGGCAGGCAGATGGGAGTTATGGCCATGGAGGGTCTCACGGACACAGAGGGCACAGCCCTGCTTGTCCCTCCCACAGAGGGGGAACTCAGCCCCAAAGCAGATGTGCCCGGGGCTGGGCTGACAAGGGAAACTTTGAGTATCAAAAAGTCTGGGAAAACTGATTGCTTGTCCCCAAACTTGTCCCATAATAATCTCTTGGGTCACAAGACCCAAGAGGACAACATGCACCAGGACCTGCCATTCAACCAAAGCCTGGACAAGACCCAGCCAGTCTGGGTACCTACAAGACACTAGCCAGAAGCTACAGAAAACCCCTTTTTTTGTTGCTTTTCAGTGTTTTTCCACTGCCTCTCTGAATTTAATAAACTCCACCAGCCCCTGCAAAGCTCTCCATCCATCTGCAACAGCAACACTGCTCGGCCCTGCCCATGGTACCCGAAGGGACGTGCCCTGCCAGCCCCACCACCATCACCTCCTCAGCCACAACTCACCTCGAAGCTGACGGAGCCATCATGGTCGGTGTCAAAGGCGTTGAAGAGGAAGGTGGCATATGTGCTGGAGTCTGGAGGGAGGTGGACGGTGTGAGGGGGTGCTGTGCGGCCCCCCCACCTGCAGATGCACCTGAGCAGGGCATGGGAATAGGGACAGGCACTCACCTCCCTGTGGGAAGAACTGTGAGTAGATCTGCTTGAAGTTTTCTTCATTGACGATGCCACTCGGGCACTCCTGCCAGAGCAAGCCACAATGTCACCTCCACATCACGGAGAGAGGCTGAGCACCCCCCTAAAACCCTGCAGCTCCCTCACCTTGCCCCACCAGCCCTGCGCTGCTTGGCAGGGGTGGCTGGTGAGGCTGCTTGGAGCATCTCCCTGATTTTGTGGGCTGCACCCAGGGGGGCGGAGCACAGGATCAGGTCTCCCCACCAAGCTCCCTGGAGGTGGGATCACACTCGGAGGAAGGTGCATCCCCTGCTCCTGCCATCGGAAGCCGTTCAGAGACACACAGACAGGGACAGCTCTGTCTTGGTGCCGGTCAGTCACAGGCAGCGACATCGGCTGAAGGAGCTTGCACAAACAGGATGTTCAGGTACCAGAGCTGGTGCCTGGTGAGGATGGAGGCTGTGGGAGGGAGACCAGCCCCTTCCAGTGCCACAAACCCCAGGTGAACCTGAGTTCCTCCGCAGAGCCTGAGGCACAAACAAGGATTTGCTGCCTTTGCAGCTGGACTCTGTATCACCCAAGAACCAGTTTGATAATTTGGTTCCTATAGTCCCTGAAAGGTTCAGCTCCCTGCAACCTGCTGGAGAAAATCTAAGGCAGAGTTGAAAGCGGTAGCACCTGTGACCTGATATTTCAACCCCAAGATCCCGAAAGCCTTTGCAAACCCTGGGCACTGCTGGTTGTGAAGGACCATCTGAGGTGGCCGTGGCAGTGGAGGGGGGGCTAGCAAAGCTGGTTGAGGGATACTCACGTTCTTGAAGCCTCGGTACAGGACCTGCAGCTCTTTGCGGGTGAACTTGGTCTGCTCCTGGAGCTGCTCCAGCCCCTCGGGGCGGTGGCAGACAGTGGAGAGCTCAAACTCATCCTCAACGCTGTCTGCAAGGAACCCAGGGGAAGAGAGGGCGGCTGAGGCCAGCACCATCCTGCCTGCCCTGCCCTGGCTGGGGGGGCAGGAGAGGCACCTTGCGCAGCACACCCCATCCTCTCACACCTGCTGAGAGTGACACATTTTTGGGGTGCCCTGCTCAGCCGGAGTTGGGTGTGTGCCAGCAGGGGACACTCAGAGACACCCTGGGGGCAGACCAGTGGCTGACATCGGGCAACACCCCCCACCTCCCCCCCCAGCA